CAAAAAACAGAAACAAAAACAAAAACAAAACTTAACCTTAAATTTCATATTGTTACATTTTATCCTTTGCACAAACCTTATACTCTATTTATACACTTGGTTATCAAATATATTTAGAAACCTTCTTGGCCATAGCACATTTCACTCACCTTAATGCTAAAATAGTAAAAGGAATTGGGCAGAAGATAGTTAATTATGGCAAGCTACTCAAAATATTCCTAATTTCAAAGATGTGAACCTGAATTAAGTGATGCAAAAAGCAAAGGGGAAAATCTATAGGGCAACTGTTTTGATGATGTAATTTTTCTAAATAAGTAGTTGATATTTTTTCCAGATGGACTCTCACTTACTTTGGCACAAAAGAAGCGGGAACTCCATTGGCCACCAGAGGCTCAAACGCTGACTGTCCACTCCCACTGCTATCATGGCGCCTGTGATAAATCAAAAAATTCCCAATGAAAAGGCATGACTTTTTCCCGTCTTTTTTTTTTTTTTTTAAAAACTAAATCATAGCGGTGTACGTGAATGCAATCATGGGGTGCAATGTGCTGGTTTGAAATATTTTCATCAAACTGGTTAACACAGCCTTCATGGCATTTTCTTAGTTACTGTGTTAATACATTTATATTCTACACTTAGTAAATTTCACATGTACTCTTCCTTTTTCCCTTCTTAAAGCATATTCTCATATTGCTGGGACTGTACACTATCTCTATGAAGTACAAACTCCATGCAAGACAAGAAAAAGGTTGTTTTGAATTCCTAAGCATCTCAAAGGTAAACTTAACCTAAAACTGTCCTAGTAATAAGGACAGTATAAAAATACTTCAAGACTATTTGAATAATTCAGCTGTATCAATTCTTTTACCTGCTAACTTCACATTAAAGTTATACTCACAAATTTAACACTCCATCATCTGCAAATTAAAAAAACAAAATAACAAGAAAAAACATGTGGCTCGGCACCTGTGGCTCAAGCGGCTAAGGCACCAGCCACATACACCTAAAGTGGCAGGTTCGAATCCCCAGCCCGGGCCCGCCAAACAACAATGATGGCTGCAACCAAAAATGGCCGGGCGTTGTGGCGGGTGCCTATGGTCCCAGC